AATAACGTAACTAATAAATGACGCAAAAGTAATAATTTAAAACCAGATCATTTAGAATAAGAATTAGTTAAGTATAATTAGATTTAAAAATAATATTTGTAGAGTGTTTACAATTTCCTGGCTGTTTTTATATGTTTCAGTTCACTCAGTACCCAAACCATTAAATTAGCTATTTCCCCACCTACAAATGAGCAAACCTGAATTGAGGGAAATGAACTTGAGAGGATGGTAGCGAGACCGAACCCAGCTCCTCTGACCTAAATCATATTTGTGTTTGACCGTGCCACATGATTATGGAGGAAACATGTCATTAAATTATTGGTTTATTTTTCTGCATTCATCATTATACATGTATGGAGTGTTTTCTCTGGAGGAGAGCGTCTAGGTACAGAGATTGCAATAAAAGCAAGGTGCTAAAGCCAATAATCAGAGCGTGGTGTGATGCTCCTTTTAGTAACGTATGTACCTTGTGTTGGGCAGTGGAGATGAAGTGCGTGGGTGAATCAGGAACGCAGAGGAGTTGTTGTTTAAGCTCAGGCTTAGGGTGATAAGAATAACTTGTTGCATTGCTTGGTCACATACATACTTTGTCTTCCACACTCCTCACTTCCCCATCCCAAAGGAAACTACAGGGCACCCAGCTCATTGTGTGTTTAGCTACAGTAGTTACAGGTAGAGAAAACCAGCAACCCGGCCCGCCTTGTGGTCACAGGCACGGCATCTGTCAGTCGGCTCGGAAAAACATTTAATGAATGTTGAAGCCAAAAACACGTGTTGGTAACTACCTGTCAGTGTGCAAGCACTGTCTGTAACGAACAGATAGATAGAGCGATGTAGATCCACTTAGATATTATATTCATTCAGATCCCAAACAGTGTTTTATGTTCATTTTCAAAAGCAAAAGTACTCCTAGAGAGGGAGATACTCTCCTGAAAGAGTAATGATTTCCTTTCCCTCATGGTAATGGCATGCATGATGGAGTTGACTCTGGGTGTGTGTGTGCGTGTGTGTGTGTGTGTGTGTGCGTGTGTGTTTTCATGCACGCAAAACACATCTCATGGGAAGAAGCCCTAAAGACAGTTCCCAGTGCAGTAAGCCAGGATTCCCAAAAAACAATTTTTAATCTTGTATATCAGAAATATTGCTGCTTGTTCTTTGTTATGACAGATGTTGAGAGGTTTTTTTTTTTTTTTTTTTTCCCCTCCAAGCTAAATGCCACTCAATCTATTTCTGATGTTTATACTTTTTTCAAGTTTTCAAATCGCAGGCTTTTTAATAGTCGGTGGAATGAAACAGACCAAACAGGCTCCCATTTGTAGTCTAAAGTTATCTTTTTGCATCTTTGCTCTAGATGGCTGGAATTTCCAGGAGGATCTTGAGATAGAAATTTTGCACGGATACCTTTTGGGAACCCTGTGAATCCTGTGACAAATACAACTCAATTTTTAAGCATGTCCAAGAGATTCTTCCTGATATGGTCAATTTTCAGGACCATGTCTTTGGTTTTGCTTAGGTCATTAAAGAGAAAGGAGAATTTGTCCTAAATCAGAAAAGGAGGAAAGATTTAAAGCCACATACTGAGTATGTAATGAATTCTTAGTTGTAAATTCACTGTGATGGTGTTAATTCTCTCCCACAAAGCTATACTCACTGGAGACATGGGGAAGGCAACAGGGCCTTGAAGAAGGAAATATTTGCTTCTTGATTTATTTTATTTTTAATGAAGGAACAACTTTGTTACAACCAAGGTACATTATTCTTAATTCAACTGCTTACAAACTTAGCCAAAAGACTCAGTTTTTGTGTGTGACATTTTAGAAACAAATGGACAATGAAAAAATGGTGATCTTGCCTTTATTTTTATATAATATACATGTTGAGGTTACAGAGTTGGTGGTGTCATTATTTTCCTTACAACGCTTTCTTTATACACAACAGAGGAACGTAATGAAATTTGACTTCTGGACCTGAAAAGTTCCATCTCTCCTGTTATGTGGTGATACTGGCTTGGCTCCTAAACTAGACCCTAAATCATTACGCCTCTGGGGGTTTTCAAATGTGTAATAAGTAAAATCCATTCTTTTGCAAAAACCGAAAAACATGTTGTTAGCCGCAATTACATTGTTCCTTGGTTTCATCACACCCGTGGCTATCACTACCTTTCTTACTCATTTCCCGCAAATAATTGGAAGCCTCTTATGTTAAGGAAAAATGTAAGCACATGTGATCGCGGCTGCCTTTCTGAATGAATCACCGTCGCTCCTCCGGGGGAATGCGGTAGCAACCCAGATGCAATGTTGTGTTTGCTAAACTGTGTTACCACCACACTCCCCGGTTCGATCTGAAATGTGTAAATAGAGCCAGCATGTTGCAGATAGAACTGCCAGATAATCTCGGCTAACCCAGAGCAACGTGACCAGACTTGTCCCGGAAAATCACCGCTCTCGAAACTTTAATCAACCCCGGGATCGTTTCGACTAGACCGGAGGTTGCTTACTCATCCTTTGGGCTCTGCGTTTTTGAAGGGGAGGTACTGATGTGCGTACCTACCAGCGCTTTACAGACGATGTGATGTTTCATTCTCCAAAGATGCCCTGGATAACCAGATTGCAACTCACCAAGGGTAAGGGACTTGCCAGGGGCACAAAGCCAATAGATGACAAGACCAGCATTGAACCCAGTGGTCTCTGACCCCAGAGCCTGTTACTGGAATTGGGACCTCTCATGATGTATGTCGTGGTTTTTTTTGTTTTTTGTTTTTGCCTTCTAACACCCAGATCATAAAAGAGGAACATGATATTGTGAGAATCATTTATGATTTTGGTGCACTAACTCATACTTTCTCTACAACCAGAACATCCGCATTTGGGTATTTCATCAGGGAAGAAAGAAAACCAGTTAACTGAAATAGGAGATTTTTATGAAATTGAGTCCCATGGAAATTCGAGGCATTTTCCAAGAAATTGTTTTGACCTAAACTCTAGGCTGCTGAAAAGAGAAAGCCACTTTGCCCCTTGAGGTCAAATTCCCCGATGCCTTCAAATCCCCCTTGGTAAACGTGAATACTGATGTGGCCGACAGAGATGGGTTTTCACCATTCATAGACATCGGTGGGTTGCTGAGCATGAATTGGGTCACTCTGGTAGCCGATCTAATTTATAGTGCAGACTGGTTAACGAATTAGCGTTAATAAGAGAGTAAGGAAAATGAGGATAGAAAACTAGGGTGGAAAAAGTAGAACTGTCTGGGAAATTTGACGTTGCAAGAGGAAACAGTGAACCTGACTTCTCCTTCTGTGCTGAATGTTTGGATAAAGGACTACAGACCAGATGGTAAGGGGTTATTCAAGCCGTCCCAGCATACTTCACTGAAGACGGGTGCCAGTGGTCCACTCTGACCTCTTGCCCCTCTCTTTGGTCTGTTTCAGCTAAGGAGCTTCATAAACAAGGGCAGTTGCGGGGGAGGAGTGATGGTGTGTGTGTGTGTGTGGGGGGGTGCTTTTGGACGTTTCTCCCATATTGGTGCTTTTACCCCCAATCACGACAGGGTGGTAGATTCTCCCTTACTCCATCCATGGGTCCAGTTGGATGGAACAGAGAATGGGAGTGGGAAGTGGGGTGGTCAGTGGGGGAGAAAGGGGAGATATCTGTAATATTTTCAACAATTAAAAAAAATAAAGTCAGTTAAACAATGTTAAAATGAACCTGGCTGGTGTGGTTCAGTGGACTGAGCATCATCCCATGGACTGAGAGGTCTGGGTTTGATTCCCAGTCAGGGCACATGCCCAGGTTGTGGGCTCGATCCCCAGTAGGGGGCGTGCAGGAGGCAGCTCATCAATGTTTCTCACATTGATGTTTCTATCTCTCTTTCTTCCTCTCTCTAAAAAAAAAAAAAATCAATAAAACATATTAAAAATATTAAAATGAAAAAAATAGAATGAAATATTTTCTCTTTTGCTGCACACTTTATTGGAGAAATGGTCTCTTAAATTTAGTCACTTTTGCTCAATAATTTAGTGTAATCTAACCCAAGTAAAATTCTAGGTAGGAAGATAAAGTTTTGTTAGTTATTTGAGCATTTAGGTTCTATATATTAGATGTATCAACTACAATGGTCCAGTTAGACAAGAGTTGAGAGAACGCTTGATCAATTCTAGGTACAGTGGGTTTCATAAGATAGAATATGGCATCAAAATATTAGAAATAGAGTCAACATTTCACTCTTTAGGGAATCTTCTTTTCTCCATTTGAGTAATTTCTAAATTTTTTGTATAAGCCTCACTACTTAACATGGTAAGACACATTTAAGGTTTTCTATAAGCCAAGTGAGGATACTATTTTTAGGCTGAATTCCAGTTCATATGAAGCATTAGAGTCCGAGGGAGATGGTCTTATATTGGCTCCCAGTTCCGTGAAGAAAAAAAGAATAATTTTGGGCGGGGGGACATCCTCCTTAGAAATCCCCTGATAGGATGCAGTCCACAGTGGTGAACTATCCGTCTCCCTATTCCATTTCTGAGTTGGTTGCCAGAGGGTTTAAACATGATTAAAAATTCAGCAGTGTTTGACTAAGAAGCCACAGTAGTAGGAAATCACAGTATCTGAATATCCAACGTGCCATATTGTTAATTGCTGGGAATGTTTCTGAAGGACGGTGACAGGACTCAGGGCAGGCGAGCTGGCAGATAACCTTGTGAAAACCAAGGGGAAATCAGGGTCAGCCAAACAGAAGGAATAGCAAAGTCCCACAGGGAAAGAAAGCCCTTGGTTCTATGGGGCATCCATTCGTCACCATAGCCTGGGAGGCTCCCACACCAAAGAGGGCTGCATCTGAATGAGTGGACAGTGCTTTTTTTTTTTTTTTTTGGAGTCAATTAATATTTCTGTTGTGAACAATGTAACATCTCTTAGAGCTACCCTGTTAATCATAACCATACGATTATATACCACAGTGTACTAATTTCTAGTAACTGAGTCAGATCTTTCCTTTATGTTCCTTAGGAATCTGAGAAAAAGGGCATAATCGAGAGAATCTATATGGTGCAGGATATTGTTGCAACAGTTCAAAAAATCTTGGAGGAAGTAGCTTCTTTTGGAGAAAGAATTAAAAAGTAAGTTATACGTTTGTATTGCGGCATTTGAATGAGACCTGCCCTCTTCAAAGGCAAATGGGGGTGAGGAGGGAGAGATCAGAAAATGCAAAACCCCAAGACAAAAGCAAGGGCGTCGGGCACACCCTGACAACTCTGGTTGGTTGGTTCTCTGGGCTTGTCAATCCTACAGCTGGGCGGTGCCTCAGAACTGGGGTGACCATACTGCCAATTTTTCACCCAGCATAATTATTAATAGTGCTCCCTTTCACTCTGAAAAATATCCTGGATTAGGTGATAAATTGGATTTTAAAAATAGGTGATCCCATTCACAAATAAGAAGGGAGGCAGCCCTGGGCATTATGGCTCAGTGGTCGGAGTTTCACCCTGTGTACCAAATGGTGGCGGGTTAGAGTTCCTGTCCGGGCATGTGCCCGGGTTTTGGGTCACATGTGGGAGGCAGCCAATCAGTGTTTCTTTCTCTCTCTCTCTCTCCCTCCCTCCCTCCCTTGCCCCTTCCTTCCTCTCTCTAAAATCAATTTAAAAAGGGGAAGCACATGTTCTTTCACAGAGTCTTTTATGTCTGAACCACAGACCACAGTAATGTCTTGAATGAAATATGTTCTCCATTCTCCAAAGAACGGTACCTAATAACATCATAGATGCAAAGATGTGACGTTAATTTCTCACATGCATGGGTGCTTTAGGACAGAGGTCAACAGACTTTCTCTGTAAAGGGCCAGAGAATAACTATGTTTGGCTCTGTGGGCATTACGGTCTCTGTCACAGCTCCTCAGCTCTGTTGTTTATGTGTAAAAGCAGTCATAATTGGTATATAAATGAATGGATTTGATGTGTGTTCCAATAAAACTTTATTTACAAACACAGGTGGCAGGCTACATTTGAATCAAATCCAACCCATAGCTTGCCCCTCCTTACCTTAGAGCAGAAGGGCTCACTTCCTAATGGAGTCCCAACTGAGAAAGACTCTTCTATGATATGTGTTTGTGGTGTTTATGTTTGTTTGGTATATGTCACTGAACTGTGCATTAGTTGATCTTCATTTGGTACCAATGAATAGAGGTGGTTTTAATCATTTTACTTTGAATTATATACTTATTTCTTTCCCCTTTTAATTCCAGAATTGTGTCAGCCATATTTTTCTTTCTAAATATTAGTTAATACCTTTTCTTATCTTATTGATCAATTCAGTTTCTTTAACTAAAGGAGATCATGTTTAAATATTGCATCGGAAAAGAAGAGAAAAAAATAGTGCTAAAGACAAGTGAATGTTTTGTCTTGTCAAGATGCAGAGAAATTGATAAATGATCATTAACATCAGGAAACAAATACTTAATATAAAACTTTCTTTAGTTACTGATCTTCTTTCTCAGTTCCTTATTGAATGAAATTGCCCTCGCCTACTCATTTATCACTGTCATAATAAACATGCTTGATTTGTTTAAAAAAAAATTGGTCAAAACCCATCTTAATAGAAATTTGGTGAGTTTACAATATTGTTATTCCCATTATCAATGTCATAGGAGAAGGAAAATTAAACAGTAGCAAAATTTTTGCTCACATGTCTGTCTGCTTTATTCCTCCAGGTTTCATATATATATATATATATATATATATATATATATATATAGAGAGAGAGAGAGAGAGAGAGAGAGAGAGAGAGAGAGAGACAAACGAGCCTGAATTTACCTCAAAAATTGTTTAACCAAAACATAAGCAACAGTAGAAGTGATGAGGAAGGACGTATAATTCTTCATTCATTCCCTCATTCCACTATCAGTTATTGAATTTCAGGCACCGGCTTGGTCTAAGAATGAGAACTGCACCCATAACAACAAAAATAGCAACATTAACTGATGTCCTGTGGCAGCCAGACAGTGTTGTAAGCCCACTACACATAGTAACTTTTTAAGGACTTACTTAAAGGAATGGGTTAAATGACTCCAATACCCCTTTGGAGTAAGGATTCTTAATATCCCCATTTTACAGAGTAATTAACCATGTAGCCCAAGGTCACACAACCAGTAAGCCATGGAGCTTGGATTTTAACTTGGCCTTCTCATCACTATGCTAAAATGTCATTATACTTCAGAGATCTATTTTCCAATCAGGGAGAAAAACAGTAATAAAACAATTAGAATTCAGGCCCGGCCGGTGTGGCTCAGTAGTTGTGTCGACCCATGCACCAAGAGGTCGCCAGTTCGATTCCCGGTCAGGGCACATGCCCAGGTTGTGGGCCTGATCCCCAGTGGGGGGCACACAGGAGGCGGCCAGTTGATGTTCTCTCTCATTGATGTTTCTATCTCTTTCTCCCTCTCCCTTCCTCTCTCTCTAAAAATCAATAAAGAAAATAGACAATTCAAATTCAAGAGCATAGATGCTCAGTAGACATGATTATGAGGGCCCTCTGGCCAACCCAGAAAGAGATGTAGGACAGAGACAGACAGAGGGCAGTGCTGACAAAGCCACAATTCATCAGCTTCTCTGAGAGAGGGAAGAGATAGCTGAGCATAGAATTGATGAGAAGGGGCTTCAATAGGGGCAAGCCACTGTGCCAAGGCTCAAAGCCCACGCCTGCGCTAGGTACAGGGACGTGGCAGTGATTTAGCATGTCTCTGCCATAGGGGATGGTCGGGGCATGTCTTTCTGGGAGGCAGATCATTCGGGGACTTGACAATATTGGAAAAGTCCATGAAAACACACTGAGGGACGTATTGGCAGCCAGGGAGGATGAGAGGCTGTGGAGTGGGGCCGAGACCGAGGAAGGAAGGCCACGTCTTTGGTAACACCGTCCCCATGACCGAAAGTCTCTACTAGACAAATGTGGCTGTTGTGCCGTTGATAATGATGAAGGAAATGCGGCTGACGGGAGAAGGGGGCAGAGTCATTCCAACAGGCCCCCCACTCTACGGTGCCTTTGAGCGCCGGCTGTGCCCAGCACAGCTGCGGCGGCCACGTCGGAGGCGTATTTTCAGCCATGAACAGGGCACTGTTCTGCCCAGCTGTAACACAGGAAGGCTCAATTCCGATGAATCTCGGGCCATTCATGATCACAGGGACCTTAATGTTTCTGCTGGGCATGAAGTGGGAGGTCACGGGTAACTCTGCTGGAATGCTATTGTAATTCAGTGCTTAAGGACCAGGACAGCTTTCCCCCAACTATTGGCAACCAGCAAATAAATAGACTCACATAAAACCCCGAGAGAGTGCTGCCCCAGTGGCGTTGCATTCACATGGAATGAGCTGCATTTTCTTCCTTCTGCCCACTCTGATATTACACAGACTTCAGAGGTACAGCTCTGTCAGGCTGACATGAATCAACATGTTGAATTTATATTATCCCGGCGGCAGGCAGGACGTGGGAAGAATGATTCGTATGTCCCAGCATTGTGGATGGTGGCTCCCACCTCTGTGTCCTTGAGTGGTGAGGGACGTCTCCACAGAGGAGATGGTGACATTCAGGTAGACCCAGGACAGAGAAGTCACCTGGGTCAATGCTCCAGAGTCAGGCTTCGAAGCTGCATCCTTAGGGGCTGGAACTTTCCCGGCTGGGAAGCGAGATTAAGAAATACCAAGTGAAGAGGATGAGAAAGCGGGTTAAGGGCACTTTGGTGAGGACCTGGGAATGGCAGGTTAAGGTATCTTGTGTTGAATCTGGGAAGGACATAGTGAAAGGGACCATGCAGCAAAGCAGAGAAACCAAGGAGAGAGCCAGAGGCCCTCTGTGAGGAGGGAACGCACAATTCCGAAAGACTAATCTACAGGATTTAGGGTTTTGAAATTTTGAAAATGATATGTTTAGGACACGGTAGTGAAATGCGGTGGTTGAACGAGCGAAAGGAATTCATTTTATCCCCCCATTAATTGAAAGTTTGGCTCATTTGTCTCATTACTCCCCAAATCAGGGTCCCCCGCCTTAGAATGTAGAGAGCCCATGTCAGGAGAATTGAGGAAATCTATGAAAACGTTTAACCAATTGTTGGATTTCAGGATGGAAGGCTTTGATTGACCAGGGTTCTTCGACCTTGGGTGTTCTGCGGAAGGACTAACTGCAAGATACCTGTGGTCAAAGGGGAGTCTAGGAAGTGTTGGTGTGTTAGTTCCAGTATCAGGTTGAACAGGACTGATGTTGGGGAACACACTTTTCTCATTCATGATCCTAGATAGAAAGCCTTCAGCATTTCACACTTAAGAATGGGTCAATAGCCTGGCTGGTGTGGCTCAGTGGTTGAGCGTCGACCCACGCACCAAGAGGTCGCCGGTTCGATTCCTGGTCAGGACACATGCCCAGGTTGTGGGCCTGATCCCCAGGGAAGGGCATGTAGGAGGCAGCCAATCAATGTTCTCTCTCATCGATGTTTCTATCTTTCTCCCTTTCCTCTCTCTCTAAAATCAGTAAATTAAAAAAAAAGGAATGGGTCAGTAGACCAATACATGAGTGAAGGTGAAGACCAGGAAGAAGAAATCCTGTAGGTACACAGAGGCCTTATCCAGGGCAATGGAGTACAGAGCATTTCCTAGGAGTGTACAAGATTTCCATAGGACACTCAGCTTCTTAGCCCATGTTCAAGCTCTCCATTCCCACACAAGTCAAGGCCAGCAACAGACACAATGAAAGGAGCCGGAGGCCCCGTGAAAATATGTGGTGACTTCACCTACACTGTCTATGGGTTGGTGATGTCACGGTTTATAGTCACGTACTCCCCGGTCCTTTTCAGGGCTCCATGTAGCTTCTGTCGTAAACAAGTCTGGAAATTCTACATATGTTATTAGAAAACACAAAAGCACTGAAACACTGTAATAATGTCCCTTCCTTCCTAAATATTACTAGCAGCCATGTGTTAATTGGGATACATACTGAGTTCGAAGTGACCCAAATAACCTTTAGCTTTGAAGATCTCCATGCATGGAGCCATGTGACAATATGGCAGTTTTTTTAAATCACTTTTGAGAGCCAGAGTCTTCTTTTCGGTTCCAGGAAGTGACCTTCTAAAGAATGCTTTTCCGATGCCCAGTCATTTTGGCAAACTCTCATGTCCAGCTTTTCAAAGAAACTTTTCCGGTAGACTGTCTTCATCTGTAGAACTGAGAAATGAACTTGACCCAATGAATCTCCATAGCTGTTGGAGTGACACTCTCAGAGCAAGTGACACTCGTGTGGTTTGTCTGCAGCACGTTCAACTGGACGGTCCCGTTTCTTTCCTTCCTGGCCTGCGTGATCCTGGTGGTCGCCACCATCACACTGTACTTCATTCCACTTCGGTACATCGTTTTAATCTGGGGTAAGTTTGGCAAAGGTCCCTTCGCTGGCAATCAATTCCAGGTAAGAACCAATTACTCGTGTTTAAAGTGTGACTATAAACTTTAAATACGCTCCTGTCGGCAATTAAACATGAGATTAAGGAGAGGATATAGGGAATCCAAACTTCCAGGACCTCCCTGAAAAGGCAAATTGCGTGAACCATCAGCATAGCTATTTAAAGGCCTGTTGCATGGCTGTGATCAAATAAAAATAAAAATGGAATCATGCATGTGATTTCCCTTCGGCTTTCACAGTCATAAATCCCTTTGAATAATACAGTGCCGTGGTCCAGGAACTTCCAGGGTACCCTGTTATTCAGACAGTGAAAAAACACCTGTACCCTGCCCGTCATCTTATGTAAAAGGAGCCAGGTTGCTTCTGACACTCATCTCTCCTGGAGGAAACAATAATCCAACCCAGTACTTAAATCCAGAAGCAGTGGGAGGGAGGGAGAGACCCTCACCGATTACCCACCCAATGCCGGAAAGGAGAGGAAGCGATTACTTACTAGGGGAACCGGTGTGCCCCTATGCAGGGTAGCTGCTTTTAAAAAGTAGAAACAAAAATGGCAAACTTGCAATGTATTTCATGAATTGATTTACTGCCCCAGCTAGCTATGGGACAAAATACGAGCAGCTTTGTGATATTTACGACTGTTGCTGGGTGGGCTCTGGGTTGATACAAGGAGAGTGCGTTGCAGGAAATTAAGCTGGAGAAGCCATCCACCTTTCCCCACAAGAGGCCCTGTCAATTCTGGTTTTCCTTTACTCGGCTCCTGTGACTGCTGCTGCTGAGTTCTCAACCATCGTCACTATTGGGGATCTTCAGATATTAAGATGTTCAGAGAGGTTACAAATGTAAGAGATCACAATGTGGTGCATTCAACTTTAAGCAAAAGCGAAGAGTACACATATGCAGGATAAAGCTACAACCTTTCTCACACTATTAAACGCAGACCTTTTCCAAGAGAAGCCGCAAGGGTAGACTCCTGATGTCAAAGGGAGCCAAACCTACACACTTAGAAACAGGAAAAGTCATAGGAAAATAGAATAACCCACAAAATTTCTGAAGTTGAATGATTTTAGGAGGGCATAGTCCATTCATTCTCTATTTTGTGCAGGACAAGAACCATTCCGTATTGAACTTTGTATCTCTGTTTGATAGCACAATATCTCTTACGTGGAAGGCACTCAGTATTTGATACATGAGCAAGGACTTCCTACCCCACCTCACTCCCCCCCACCAATGGATTGCAGTCAAGGCTACATGCCTGTCACTCATATACATAAATATCTGAAAAATTGTGCTGTAATTCTGTTCAAAGTGGTTATTCTCCAGTGGCTGTCTGTGCAAAGCAACCATGCAATTTTTCCTTTCTCTGCCTTTCTCCAAGTGATTTTTTTTTTTTCATTTTAAACTGGCGGGCTCATTCTATTCCACTGATATATCTGTGATCTGAGACCATTACATGATAGTGTCTTTTCCAAATGTTATCTCGTGGTATTTGGATACCACTTCGTTTTTTATTCTTGGCTAAAAAATAAAAATTCACAGCAGATATACCTTCTGTTTGTCTGAACTGTTTAGGTTCAAAATGGAAAAATTTGGATGTGATTACATGCCCAGTAGTGTAGAGGTTCCCTTTCTGTTTTCTTGGTTTATTGCCATCCACAGTAATGATGCTAACCTCCTCCACTGCTGTGGAATTTCAGAAGAATCCTCTTGCCTGTGGTGTCCAGTGTGATTCTCCCTTCAACCCAGGAAACTATGGAGGGCAGGTCCTTATTATTCAAGTTTTAACGGGAGAAATCTGCAGCCAGGATGGTTAAGTGATTTGTCTGACGTCACACAGCTAATGCATGGTGAAGCCAGAACGGGGGCCCAGTGTATTCCTGGTCTGCTCCCTCACCCTTGTTCCTTGCCTCTTAAAGAGGACCAAGGAAGGCGTGACCCCTGCTGACACTTGGTCTCACACGGCAGATGATGAGGTGGAATTACTGACATTTGAGCCTGTGACACCTGAAAAAAAAAAAAAAAATGTGTGCTTTAGAAGTGTGCAATCTGAGTGCCTTATACTTTTTATTCTAAGTACGTTTTTCCAACATAGACAGCCTCAGTGCATTACTGTGCAGGTTTATAATCTTCTCAGTAACTAAGAATGTGGTGTTTTGATGGGCTGGGATATTATCCCTGCCTCGCTGTTCATTGTAAAGACTCCAGATGCGCACACTATATATAATTAACAATAGAGGATATATCTTTTCTCAATATGTCTTTGTCTCCCTTTATCATGTTGCCTGGTCTGTTTGCTTTTGCCAAAAAGCCCATGCTACAATTAATGTCTTTAGAATAACACAGTGAGTGTATTTTAGTGTAAAGGAATGCGGGGGGGGGGGGGGCGAGAATTTTAGCAAGAAACACAAAGCTTGCTGTGGGGGTGGAGGGAAGAGACACGGTGCAGCTTTGACTCAGGAGACAGGGCATCGTTTGCAAGAAGTCTTCCCCAGCCCAACCGCCGAGCCCCCGCTTACCCGTGAACAGTGGCCGGCTGCCATTTGCAAAGCAGATACAAATGGACCCTCTCCAGGGAAATGACTGGAGGTTGGCGCTGGGTCAGGTGCAGTACCATTCAGCAAGTTCCATCTATAGATGAAGGCAAAACGATACTTAAAATCAGAAGAACATCAAGCCTTGTATGTGTTAGGGACCGTTAGACAGTTCACTGGTGCCTTGGCTTTGGAACAAGGTGTACACCTCAGGTGAGAGTTCATTCAGCCTCCCCCAAACGAACTAGACCTTCAGACAGGACCCTTGTTAAACAAGCCCTCTGTGCAAAACTTCAGAAAGCTGCCTAGCTTCTCTGCTTCTAAAACTCAGCCTGAAAAAGGGTTGGCATTTAGTGGAGAGAACAGTCTGTGAGTACTGGATACAGGCAAGGAGCAGAGTAGGAGGCAAAAGGTGTCTTGGGCAGTTTCCCTCTGAAGAGGAAACCATGGACGGAGCCCGAGGGGCAGCCAGCAACAACACCTTCCACGTTGGACCCCTTTCTCATCCCCCCGCCTCCCAGCCAAAATTAGCACAGACGCCATTGCCTAGACCCACCCACGCACCAGGATCTCGGTCCATAAATTAAGTTAGCAACCATTGGAAGATAATTTTCCAATAATAACTTTTCACAGTTTTTGCAGCCTCAAAGTACGATCAACATGTCAAGTTCTGTTCTGCAGGGAGAGAGGAGAAACCTGTGAAAATGAGTTGGAGGGGGGGGGGATAGATTTCTGCAGCTTCTTCTTAACAACAACAACAGAAAGCCAACTCTGGCCCTGCGCCTCCCACGGCTACAGTTGGTCCAGAGCCCCCAAGCAGAGACTTGTTTGGGCTAATGAAGGTCTTTTCCCATCTGGGACACTTGTTTCCCCCGCAGAGGACGCTGTTCATCAGCCCCGCGCACAGACACCGACGGGCGCTGTGGTTTCCGTGTGTGTCTGTGCCGCCCTGCTGCTGGGATTGTAATGGGATTTTCACAGCTGAAGAAGGCAGAGCCCCTCTCCGAAGTCCCCCCTTCCTTCCTGCAGGAACAGGCATTTGTGAATGATTCCACATGACAGCAGCGTGGGCATGGCTTGACGTCCAGTAATTGTTTTCACACTAATTTTTACTTGTGAATGCCCCTCCTCCCCCAGGAGGGCACGTTTTAAAGATAGACAGAAAGGTAGACAGACAGACAGACAGAGCGATCTCCCTGCGTTTCTGTTTTGCAGGCATCAATAAATTTACTAAGAAGCTTCGGAACCCCTACGCCATCGACAATAACGAGTTGCTGGACTTCCTCTCCAGGGTGCCGTCTGATGTTCAAAAGGTATGTAATGAAGGGTCGCCGCCAGCAGGGGGCCCCGGCGGGAAGTGGGGCCAGCCCCAGGGCCAGAGGGGCGCAGGCTCTGCAGGTGTGAGTGATGGAGATAAGGAATCCGAAAACCCTTGAGGAGTCCCGGCCGGCAGGGAGGTGGCCAGAAACCTTTGTCCCAAGCACGCGATGATTGGGGGAAATTGCCGAGAAAGAGCCCCTTAAGAACCATCTGGAACTCACACTGCGCAGCTGTGATGCAGAGGTGGTTGTCCCCTTATTGACTGCGCGCCTCCCCCCAGAGGATGAGATGGGCTCAGTGAGGGGGGGAGTGGGGCATCCAAGCCTGGAGGGGCTGGCTTATTTTCCTCCTCTTCTGGACGGCAGGCGTCTTAGGGGAAGCAGGGGATAGGAGGATTATTCTCTTTATTCTTGTGTGCTGCGATTACCTCCCAGGACCCCCTTCTGTCTCTTTCCCTCTAAAGATTTAGGGATGCTTAGGGCAAAGGCCTCACTTTCTCTAATACACATCGAGGCAGAGACGGCGTGAGATAATTCGAGATCAATCAGAAGTATTATTCGCAGGTAATGGCCATTTAGTCCAGTGGCGCCCTGTTTCTGTGGCTACACAGAGATTAACCAAGGCAACAATACCAGAAAGCCCCGGAAAGTGGCCCGATCCGGGCCCCCACAGATCAGGCTGCTGTACACCCCAGGGCAGGTAACAATTTCTGTAATGGAGAACGGGCATCGCAGTCGGCAGATGGGCGACCGAGGCTCGAAATAGCGTCATGGTGATAGAAAGACACAGATCTTCATTATCTGAGAGTCTCAAGTCAAATACTGGCTTCCGTCTTTGGCCGCTGTGATGTCATGGCCCCGTGGAAGCTCAGAGTGGACTTTGGGGACACTGGGCTGAAAGGCTCAGAGTTTTTCTCCTTCATTCCAAATGTTGGAGGTTAAAGTAGACTCCACGATGCTTCACTCCTTTAGCCTTCGTTTTGATATAATTACCTATTAAAATGTATTCTAGAAATATAAACCTACCCTCTAACATTTTCATTCCACGGTTAGAGAATATTGCCTGGCCCTAGCTTGTTTTGCATTGGAGATGGACAGGCCCTGCTCCCCAAGGGGACCTTCACACAACACTCTGAAGAAAGTGTGCTTTTTATTATTATTATTATTATTTTTTTTTTAATGTATCTGCTTTTGACCAAAAGCAGCTCAGCTTATGTGATAGGTCCTGATGCCCTTGGGGAGTTTGACACACGTGCTTGAAGTAGTGACCATGTATGTCTGCAAAGCAATGCTTTATTTATTTATTTTAAATCCTCACCCGAGGATACTTTTTCCATTTATGTTCAGATAGAGTAAGAGGAGGGGAGAGAGAGAAACATCCATGTGAGAGAGACACATCGACTGGTTGCCTCCCGCATCACCTCGACCAGGACCAGGGACCGAACTGCAGCCGAGGTCCATGCCCTTGACCGGAATTGAAACTGCGACTCTTTGGTCCGCGGGCCGATGCTCCAGCTGCTGAGCCCAACTGGCCAGGGCCATTATTCAGTACTTTAAATAAAGCCATGCCACCATCAGCCTACCAAAGCCCACAGGGCAGGACTGCACTGTCACTTGGGTGGCAATATGAGTTCTTGCCTGCGTCCCCACAGAATGCAAATCACCTTGCAGTCCCATCAGCGATCGTCTGGGCACAGTTCCGGCACCAGCCACCAGAATGGTCCTCCAACTGGAACTGGCGTGAATACAGAGAACACAACAAAAGAACATTCTAGGAAGATATACAGAGTACCAGGAAGATACTCTGTGTCACCCAGAGACTTCCCAGTAACACCATAGACAGTTTGCCGCGGGGGACTCCCCGTGGGTTCATATTTATCACAGATGTTTTAGCTATTCCTTTGGAAATGAAATGCATTTTTAAGAGAAATCTATATAAGTCTGGGGCCAGTATCAATTTCAACATGATTTCCCTCTCTGGCAAAATAAATGTCTATAATTTGCAGAGATTCCCCACCCCCCAAGATTTTAGATATTTCGAAATGAATAATTCTTAGTAAGTTTCTGTATCATATACTAAGATAAACATTCCCAAGAGGCTGTTATTAAGCGTAGTTATGGAGGAAAAGGGGGCGCACACACAACTGAAACCCTCCAGCAGTGCCCAGGGCAGGTAGAAGCCCATGCATCTCATTAGGAAAATCTGCTTTTAATATTTTGGTTTCAAGAAATGATGCATGACTTCTCAAATCCTTCCTGTAATTAATCCCTCCATGTTCCTGTGTTTAGAAAATGATTCATTACCTTTGAACCTTCCTTCCTTTGCCTTGGCGTGTCCGTGGGGAGCCATTAACACACACTGCGGCGGGCTAGGGTTACCGAACCGCCGGCCTCGCGACTGTTTGTTTTCACAGGTGCAGTACACGGAGCTGAGACCCTGCAGCAGCCAGAGCCCCCTTCGCAAGAAGCGCAGCACTGTCTAGGACACGCCGCGACTCGGGACGCCAGCCCCCGGCTCAGCGTTTGGGTGATCGGACCAGTGTCTTCGCTCTTGCTCGTGCAGTAGCACCGTGTTGTCCTTCTGACACGCGTGTTGTGTGGCACCCTCTCTGTGTTCTCTCCCCTTCTTCAAGTGCACACGCGCACACACACGGGTGTCCCAGCTGCGCAGCGGGTCAGCCCAGCAGAACCGACGACCCAGAGTCTGAGAGATGAACACCCGTCTCGTGCAGGAGATACAGCACGGCTGCCACAGGTCTGAACACGCTGCTTGAGAACAGCCAGGAGCCCACCTAGACTCGAGAGTGACTTTGAACTTGTGTTCACACCTCCAGCGGCCGATTCTCATTAACATTCACTCATTCTCACTCCCCACCCGCACACTCCTTGCAGATTATTGCTCATGGGAGTGTTCGTTTGTTTTTTTCTCTCTCTGAGCTAACAAGTCTTTGATAACCATCATCTACCCACGTCATGTGTCTTTTGAACAGGTTTTAAAATAATGACCAGAATTAGCTCAGATCTGGGGGAATTGGTTAGCCGTGATTACTGACGACCTGTATATAAAATTTCAGTAAACTCACCGGTGCCGGGAGCCAGCCTGTCTCACGGTCCATTGCTGCCAATGGATGCCCAGCAGGGTCCAGAGGGCGAACCCTTCCAAAAAGTGGAGGGTTCGTGAACGTATTCGGTTGCCTGAAAAACGCCATTTCTTCCCATTTTGCTTTTTTTCCAAAATACCATGTCAAAGTCATAGCTTCAGAAAGGGGGAGGGAGTGGATGGATGGATTCTGAGAGTATTTAGAAAGGTAAGGGCCGGGGAGCAAGGGTCTACTAATTGTGGCTGCTAACCTGATGCTCATCACTTCATTTGCTTGCGTTTCTGAGCAAAAAGTACAACTATGGCAGCAGTCCACATCGATCTTTCGTTCCTCCTCGGGGTGAAACAAGCTACCCCGAATGAAAATATGTCTCGGAACCTCTGTCCTGGAAAAGGACCACTTCCTCTAACAAGTATGTGATTCCTACAGGCCCCACCATTTCACAGACACGCCTCCACGTGAAAATTCGCATTCTGTGCATATACACGATATGAAAATTTCTTTCCTTTCAAATGCGATGTAAGTTGTAAAGACTGTATTTTGTTGACACATACTTTGTATGTGCAGTTATATAGAGAGATATAATATATATGTATTGTAAAGAAAACTTGAGGGGAAAAGATCTGATTTAATAGTTTTACTACGGTTCCCCCCACCCCCCTGCCCGGGTTGTAATTTAATAATCTTCAAACAAAATGTTTATGAAAAATGCCAAAGATTCTAAACCTTATCATCCCGCGTCTGTTTTTCTTCATATTCTCTCTTCCTGGGTTGCTTTCGGCTGAGCCAGATCTCTGCATGATTTGATTTACTCCGAGTTAATGAAGCTGGAAGAGTCTTGCAGAAATTATAGAAGCTCCCGTAAATCTCTTAGTTGTACATACAATAGATACCCAAGAACCTCTTTTGTCAAACCCGTTACTCAGTCTTCTGTGTAAACAATGGCTCATTGTCTTTATCCCACCATCATCTAGTGCATCACAGCCTATCATTTTGTAAGGACCCAAGTCAGACATTTTTAAACAGACATGTGAGATCCGATCGTCCTCTAAATGAAAACTTCCAGCAGCAAAACAACCCCTTATTTATTTAAAAGTGGAACCAATACTTTATTGTTGTTCTCTTTCTATAGAATTGCAAAATGAAATAATTTGCCTGACAAGAAGACATCTAGTATTAGTTAGACTTATTTCCACCGTAACCCGACTGAAATTCTCAGCATTAAGTTCAAGCCACAAACAGCCACTGGGAAGTTGGAGCCAGATCATATCAACCATTACTAAGCTGCATATCAGAAACAGTTGTTAATCGATTAAGTTGACACTGGATATTAAAACTGAATGTTAGGTTTGGCTCAGCGGTTAGAGCATCGGCCTGTGGACCAAAGAGTCCCGGGTTCGGTTCCCACAGAGGGCACATACCTCGGTTGTGGTTCATCTCTGGCCCCGGTTGGGGTCGTGCAGGTGGCAACCAATCGATGTGTCTCTCTCGCACTGATGTATCTCTCTCTTCCTCCCTCCTTCCCGCTCTATCTGAAGATAAATGGAAAAATATCCTTGGGTGAGGATTAAAAAAAAACACACCAATGTTAGTTGCAAGTGAAACATGAAGGCTTATACAAGTCATCAGAAACTTGTATGGGTGGTTCCACAATGCTTCAGGTAAAATGTCTGGATTGTGGATTCCCGGTGTGGTAATGAGAGAGAATTTGGTAGATGAGCTGAAGCTGGACCGGCCCTCCTGGTTCTCTCTGAAGCCCCACACACCCACTTCCCGCCCTGCCTGGATGTCTGACAGGCACCTGTACCTCAGCAGGTCAGAAACTCAGCATTCTCTCTCCCTGCGTGTCTCCAGCACCCCGACCTCTAGACTCTCCTAGTTCTTTTATTTTCCTTTTTGGCGCTGGCATCTCCTGGGCTGGGAGGCCCTGGGCATCCCCTTTATTATTCCTCATGCTGTGCCTCCTACCCCATTCTCTCGACGCATAAGATACCCATGTCTATCTTACCACCTCCAGTCGCCTCCACCCAAGCCACCGAACTAGTCTACCAGCCATGGCGATGGGGTCTGTTACAGGGCATAATCCTCCTTTAGACTCTTCTTTTCCCTCGGACTCCCTTCTCCTCTGTTTCTGCCTAAATAAATTCCACCTTCCTTCAAAACTTTCAAAAGTCTCCGGTCCCAGACAGGCTTTCGTTCCTTGACTGGAGGAGAGTCCATCCTGCCCTTTCTATACACCTGTGGCATCTGCTGCCATAGCTCATAGTTACCAGAGGCCTTGACTTTCTCTGTCCTCACCCGGTTAGCCCATACTGTCTGGCATCTCTGAGACACTCTGTAAATACATACTTAACTGACTAGGTCACAGAGGATTTTTCTTTCTCTGCCCTTTCGTGTGTGACTCTCAGAACAGAGCTGAGCTGGGTAGGTTAGTGTGAGCTATTCTAGTAAATAATTTCTTGCATTAAATGCAAAGCTTATATTGTATGATATTTTTTATAAGCTCTGGCGATATTATCTGTGGGCTGTAGAACAAGATTTGATTCTTCTTCCGGTCCTTTATCACTGATGGTCTCCAACATAGACCATGTTCCCTTGATAGAGCCAGACACTACACAGACACTTTGGGGCAATGGAATTGATAGTCTGACGTTTTAAAAAGAACATTCTGGCTGCAGTGGGTAGACTAACAATTATGAATGTTCAGGGAAGACCCAACTATAGAACTCCTTGGTAAGTTGAAAATGGCCTGAACTTTCAAACAGAGGCACTGGAAAAAGAAAAACAAATGGAAGTGAAATGGGGAGATGCTTAGGAGATCAAGTGAGCAGGAATTAGCTGTAGCTTGACTGGGGGTGAGGGACAGGGTAGAGTCAAGAATGACCTCGGTCTTCTCATCTCCAGGTCTAGGAAGGTGGTGCTGCCTTTAGCTGAGGGGGAGAATTACAGGAGCAGCCCTGGGAGGAGCGGCACGAGCCCAGGTTTAGAGGGGGTTGAATGTGCTGTGCTTGAGCAGCCGCTCCATGGGGATGTCAGAGAGGCCGGTGAACGCATGGACGTGGTGCACAGGGAACAAACGCACTGTACTTGGGAGAGAGACTCTCAAGGGCCAATAGTCGCAGCAAATGACTGAAGCTAAGTGTTTCAAGAGTTTCAACCCGACACTCAAAGAAGCATGGATTGAGACGAGTCAGCTAAGAGTGTAAACATAACTAGGATCACAGGAGTAAATGTAGTAAGCATGTGCTTTCATAGACTTTCATGTAGATTGTGTTTCGAGAAAGCAGGTGTGGCCAGTAGTGCTGACTGTCCCTGAGATCACATAAGCTGAGGATAGCATAATGCCTCAACGTCATGCCACAGCAATGTCGGGGGATCTGGTCAACAACTCACGTCAGTGGAGTGGTAGGACTGGATGCCGGCTTTGGCTTCAGACGTGAGTGAATGTAGGAAAACGAAAATTCTAGATGAAGGTGACTCCTGCCAAGTTCCAACTGGAAGAGAGGAGAGAGACAGGGCAGCGAATAGAGAGGGAAGTTGCGGGGGATGATATTGATCAGGGGAAGAATTAGATGTGTCATGAACTCAATGTATACCTGTTAGCTTCAAACAAGTTTCTTCACGAGCATGAGATGGAGTTGGCCATATTTATTATTTAAAACCATGCTCTGTCAAAACCCACCACTCCTTTATATAGTATTTTTTAAAAATTGTTTTCTTTATTGATTTTAGAGAGAGAAGAAGGGAGAGAGAGAGATAGAAACATCAATGAGAGAGAACAGTGATTGGCTGCCTCCTGCACATACACCCCTCACTGGGGATTGAGCCCACAACCTGGGAGTGTACCCTGACTGGGAATCAAACTGGTGACCTCTTGGTGCATGGATCGATGCTCAACCACTGAGCCACACCAGCTGGGCTTATTAATCTAACATTTATGGCTGCAAAATGGTTAAAAAATCAAAATAGAATATCCTCGGAAAATGTTAAAAATAGTCAGTTGATAATGGAATGGACATTGAAGGGTGACTTCTACCGAATGGCTAAAAGCTTGTTACGTCTTTGTATAGGTTTCTCTTTATAGAGCTTACTGTTTTGTTCTGGCTCTTTAATATAATGATTTACGTGGGGACATTGGACAGTCAAGAGTATAAGAGTAGTTAACATTTTATAACACTTATCAAATGCCAGGTGCTTTCTAAATGCTGTAGATGTAATGGTTCATTTGATAATATGAAATTCCTCTAAATACTTATGGAAGAAACACATCAATCTTATACAGACTGAAAATAGCAAAAGAAAACTAACATTTTTTTTACACATTTTATGAGGCCAGTATAATCCTCATTCCAAAACCCAACAAGGTGATGCAAAAATGGAAAACTGCTCACCAGAATTCCTTATGAATATAGATGTAGAATTGTGAAAGATATATAAGCCTCTACACTGAAAAAAATAATGAGGGGAAAGGAGATAAATAAGTGAAGGGATTCGTGGATTAGAAGAGTCAACATATTAAGATGGCAATAGATTGAATGTAAGCACAATAAAAAATGTAAGGTTATTTTTGCAGAAATGAGCCAGCTGATTCTAAAATGTATACGAAATTGCAAGAGCCCAAGAATAGCTCAAGTGATCCTGTAGATAATTAACACTAGCAGATATCAAGATGTATTATGTAGCTACTGTAACTATGATAATGTGGTATTTGGCCAAGGAGTAGAGAAGACCAGAGCAGACCCATGCCGATTTGGTGTAACCTCTGACCTAATTTATGTCAAAGGTAACATATTTGCAGTGCATAGGGAAAAGACCTTGTGGAAAATGATGCTGGGTCATTGTACTATCCACCTGGATAAAATGAACTGACCTATTTTTTGTAGCATGAGAAAAATTAATTCAATATAAATCTGCAGACCCAAAAGTAGGAGGCAAAATAAAGGTTTCAGAAAATGACATGGGAAAATGTTTTCCTATCTCTGTGATAAACAAAGACTTCTTAAGCTGGAAACAAGATGGTTATCATAAAGGGAAAATATTGATAAATTGGGGATCATTAAAATTAATCATTTCCTCAAAAAATACTAACAGAGTGAATGGATCAGCCACAAAACAGGAGAAGATATGTACTCTCTCTATATCATCTCACAAAGTATGCTTATTCAGAATACATAAAGAATTTCTACAAGGAAAAGGTAGACAAGCCCGGCGGGTGTGGCTCAGTGGATGGAGCATTGTCCCATGGACTGAGAGGTCCTGGTTCGATTCCCGGTCAGGGCACATGCCCGGGTTGTGGGCTCGATCCCCAGTAGGGGGCGTGCAGGAGGCAGTCAATGGATGCTTCTCTCTCACATGGATGTTTCTATGTCTCCCTCCCTTCCTCTCTCTCTAAAAAAAAAATATAAAAAAATACTTAAAAAAAGAAAAGGCAGACAAGCCAGTAGAAAAATACCCTAAAGACCTGAACAGGCACATTACAAAAGAGCCCATCCAAATGGCCAGAAATTATATAACAAGATGCTAAACAGCCAAATACAAACTGAATCCACAAAACAATGCACATGCATCCAGCCTGAAGAGCTAAAACGGAAAAGTCAGTATCAAGTGTCATCAAAGACATGGGGAAACGAATTCTCATGAACTGCTGGTGGGTGAAAACATAA